GTTGTCCTCTGTTGTCCAGACGGGCCCCGGTATGAATGTAAATACTGTGGAATACTTTATTTTCGTTGGAATTAATTTTCGCTGAAAAGGCTTTTTGTGCGTTTTGTATGGAATTTATTTTCACTGATTTTCGATGAGTTTAATGTGAAATATAGGAAAAAAAGTATATTCGCTGGATTTTATTTTTACGGAATTATCCCTTCAGCGAAAATAGCAAAAATAAATTCCAAGCGAAAATAAAGTATTCTACAGTAAATAGTGATTCAACATATACGAAAACGCAGATGAGGAGGAGATTGTTGTGTACACTAATAATAGGAAAGAGCAATACGACATGAAACGATAATAACAATATCTTTATTTTATGCTTAGAACTAACATATTGGTTAGTAATTATAGCAATATAAATATAAAATGAATGAGAGAAAGTATTACAAATAAATCGCCCAAAAGTTTAATTATGGAGTCACGTGATCGTATACGTACCGGTGTCGTCATAGATCACTTTCCCGGGAGTTTGCATACGCCCCCATACCGTTCTGGGGTGTAACGTACACTTGGACGCGTGATATTGTGCTTCTGGGTGTACCATTTGACGTCACAAAAATAAAATTACCTTCTATCGACTATCAGCAAACTGACATCTTTGTATATCATGCCATGACAAAGCAAGAGTATTTTTGTACCCCAGTCTTCAGTTGCTACTTCCGGGAAAGTGGTTTAAAGGCGGCGCTCTTAGAAGTTGCTAAGTTGGCGAGAAACTTGCTTACATATCGCGGAGGTTGCTAAGTCGGCGCGGAACTTGCTTAACATATCGCGGAAGCTGCTGAGTCGGTGGGAAAATTGCTAAGTTGGCAAGAAACTTGCTTACATATCGCGGAAGTTGCTGAGTCGGCGCGGAACTTGGTTACATATCGATGATTGTCGCCATGGGCCACCGTAGTTTTGGTACTTTACCATGGTAGTTTACCAGTGCTTCTGTGTATCGCCTGGGCCGGTTAAAGTTGAAACCAAGTTTGCCGCTCGACAAAAAATCGTTTCTATTTCTTCTTTATATTTTTCGACAGATAGTCACGCAGTTTTTGGTTGATGTCCCCACAAATTTTCTCTGAACAACAGAGACTGAACTAAATTTAACAGCCCATTTACTAGAAAAATGGACTCGACCGCAACGCCTGGATCGCGTTCACCCTGAAAAACATACTACATGACCAAGTGCAAACATTGTCGCACAACTGTAAACATCACGCAGTGCTTATCAGAAAACAATCATAATATTTACAATACTTTACGCTCTCAATATGCATCTTTGATGACTACGCCGAGTGGTCGTTTCGCTCCGCTCAGGTGTTACCTGTTGTAAAGCAAGTACGGTAAACCAATATCATGTGTTTACATATCGGTTAGACCCATTTGCGTCCACGCACGGGAGAAAACAGTGGTTAGCACTAATAAACACCCAAACATGTTAGGAATATACAAATGTTCGTCGTTTTAAAGCGGGGGGATAATCACCTGCGCACGCGCGGGGATTAAGTCCCAAGCGACGATAACAACACACGCTAAGAATGCAAAAACTCATGGGTAGACGCTTATTTGTAAACGATGACACGCTATGGTCATCTGACGCATGTGCAGATGACGACTCTTCCCGCCTTAAACTATAGTTACTCAGTCTTCACTATACTCTTATACCATTGAATAAATTCCATTACACTTCATTCATTCAATAATGATGGATGAGCCAGAGATGTGGCAGCTTTATTTACAGACGTGGATAGAAAAATAAATTATTACATGACACGTTATACCAGGGTGGGCTGTTACTTGTTGTGATCTCCCTGTTATACTATGTCCGCCACCCAGGAAAAACCAGAGATAAAAACCCTATACTTTATATTGCGGGGAATTCTCTGGAAACCTGTGTCCGAAATCAATAGAGGGCGATCATTCATGATCGTGCATTGAATCTGTATTAGGGTGTATAAATAAATAAATATCCATATATAAATTAGGGTATGAATAATAGGTTCGTTGTGATGTGTTGTGTTAAAACGATATACCATAATTATTGAATTATTGATATTGAAGAACAGCAAAAGTTTATATACCGTTTATAATTCAATAGCGCTTATCAATTATAAATGACTTATGAAATATATGTTTGAAAATAAGTGACCTCAAACATGGGTCTCAAACTAGTTTACTAAATATAGCCCTCTGTGATCCCTGTGGTGAAACGCAAAAACTTATCCAATTCCCACCCACTTGGCGAAAATACCGCAACTAAACATTTAGTCTGTGTCGATATGTTTCACTGTGACGTTGGTACGATCGACCGGGTATATTACAGTGTGTACTTCAGAGGGTTTAAGTCAATGGCGCATGTCTTACGCCTTGAGGCGTTTTTAAATGAAATTCATGAAACATTTAGACCGTTAAGCTACATTCAAATGGTTTGACAATGCCCATCCCTCATTTAGTCTACATTGGATGTGCCTTTCCCCATTTTGAAATTCTATACTTAAAGTATTCATCCGCTAAGACGGTCGACAAGGAATATTTTCAAAAGCTGTAATCAATTGTTTTATTTTTCGTAATAATGTAATTTATAAATAAAAAAGACGCAAATTCGTAGACATTGGCAAGGTGTAAAATGCACAGCTATTTTATTTGCCGTGATTTGTACAAAGACATTATTGTTTGTAAGCGTATAAAGCATTCTCCAAATTAAATTTCGTAATTTGTACACAAGTTCCAATTTTGATTCTTAAACACAAATTATCAAAAATATTATAAAAATGTAAAGTGTAATTAGGAATTTGGAAAATGTAAAAACCTATTTTTTTTTACTGTAAATGGAACTTTCATTTTATTTCCTGTAAAAAAAAACCCTTGCCACATCCACCACCCCCCGCTAAGATATTGTTACTTTAAAGTTACTTGTCTGTGTTCTAAGTCGACCTTTGAAGGGTCAGCCTGGGTTTATATTGCAGACACAGACGCGAACGCAGGGTTAGTTACAAAAAAGTGTAAGATGTCACATTTCAGTATAAAAAGCGCGCGTCTGTTGCGGTGCGTTCAATCCACTTTGTATCAATTGCAATGAATGCCACGTATATTCCTCCTTCTTTCGTACACGTTGTATGATGGGTTACCCCCCAGAGGTTTCATCGGGACAATTGATGACCGATCAATCAAAAGTGTTTTTTTCTTATCAAACCAAAGGCTTTGTAACAGGGCTTTGTAACCAGTGGAAAATGTACTGTGTATTGTGTGAATGCGAAACAGGTTTGTTGCTGCCCTCGCAAAAATGAGTTCATCACATCAAATCAGTAAAAACATTCGAGGAGATGAACGTGTGTTTTTAAAACGTATGTTTCATGGAGATCATGTGGATCTTACTGGAAATCTTAGCGTCGCTCGTGGTACATGTAATGGTAGCAAGTTCAGGTTGAGACCATATTTAGCATACTATTTAGAGTTCAAGTTGGTTTCAGGCAGATAGTCGGAACGTACGTACAGTTCATGAGTTCAAATTATACCTACATCAGTGTGGCCAAAAACAGCAGTTGATTTAAATTCACAGAGTACAGCATCACAGAAATGTACTATTCTAACACATAGCAAGCTCAAAAGACGAACGCGTATAAGAAATGAGGATTATGCTTTGCCGACAAAAAAGTTTTTTTTGTTATATATAAATTTGGCTATATTCATTTAGTCTGGTGGATGGATCATTGATGAAAAGAAGAAAAAACAAAGTAAATATTTTACATATTTTGCTATCCTACGTAGTTTTTGCTAATGGTAAATAATGAAAACGACAAATAAGTTCTACCTTGTTCGTATCGTCGTAGCTGAAGGCCAAGGTACATGAATAGAACATGTCTGTCCTTGTATATAGTTGTTGTTGTTGCTAACTCCGTCGTAAAATGTACAATAACTCAACCAGTGTTTATCCAATTTCTTTCAAATTTGGATATTATGTATATTAACCAGTTCGCAATCTAAACCAAGTTCGATTTTGATATGTATACGTAAGATAATCATTAAATTCTACCTAAATATGTTGTCTTCTTGTTGTTACGATATTTTCAAGAAATGGGGTAAATTTAATTGAAATAAAACATTTTGAGACGTAAAACAATTGGACATAATAAGACAATTGATGTTAGAACCAGTTGTCAGTGATATGACAAGTTCAAAGTTTTGTCACCTTTTTCTAAACTGGCAAGCATATTATTAAACTTATATATATCACTGCACTATTGTTCGAGAACTTCATGCTATATTCATGATTGTATACGGGACATAGTCTTTTTCTATATAGGAACCACCCAGAGTTATGCAATCCTCCCATCGTTTGATGCAGCTCTGGACACCGTTTTTGTAGAACACCCCAGATTGGTCCTCCAACCACGTTGTAACTTCAGAAATCAAGGCTGCATCATCTAGGAAACGCTTTCCTTTCAAAAAAAAAACTTCATGGCTGGGAAGAGATCAAAGTCAGAAGGTGCAAGGTCGGGAGAGTAAGGGGAATGGGGTAGGATTTCATAGCCACACGCCCGTGCTTCTGATCTGGGGACATGCGAGTTGTGGACTGGAGCGTTGTTCTGCAGGAGGGGACACCTTTGCTGATCTTGCCCCGCCTCTTGATTTTGATAGCTTCTCTTAATTTCATCAAAAGTGAAGCGTAATAGGCTCCTGTAATTGTGGTACCCGTTGCCAGGAAATCTGTCATCACTACCTGATCCCAGAAGACTGTGAGCATGACCTTGCCAGTGGAGGGCTGCACCCTTGCCTTCTTTGGAGGTAGTGAGTCCAAGTGCTTCCACTATATTGACTGGGTTTTGGACTCTGGATCATAGTGATAGACCCGAGATTCATCCTGCGTAATCAGTCTTTTCAAAAACTTTGACTCATCTTCTTGGCATATCTACAAATTCATCCTCGAGCCCTCGACGCGTTCTTGCTTCTGGAAAGGTGTGAGCAACCTGGGAATCCATCTGGCAGACACCTTATGCATATAAATGGTCATGAATTATAGTTTCCACAGACCCTGTACTAATCTTGACCTCTTGGGATATTTGTTGAACAGTAATGCGTCGATCTTCCAAAATGGCTGCCTCAACGTGACAGACAGGTGCCTCATCAATGGCAGAAGAGGGACGACCAGGTCTGAGATCTGTTTCCACAGACTTCCGGCCATGTTTGAATTCACGATGCCAGCGTTTTACAAGGTCATATGATGGGCATCATCACCATACGTTTCTTTCATTTCATCAAAAGACCCTTTTGGTATGCGTCCTTTCAAATACAAAAACCGGACCACTGCGCGACACTCAACTGGCTCTATTTCACAGCTGACTCAGTTCAAACACCTGTAAATCAGAAACCACAATTAGTTCAGAGCTATTTTTTGCAACATAACGAGGAACCCATAGAGATGTAAATCATTACACATGCAAAATTTCATCTAGATCAGACAACTGGAAGTGAGAAACACGTAGCTAGTATTTTTCTTGCCAAATTTTGCTTAGAAATGTTGCTGTACTATTATTTTTAGGAAATTCATGTTATAGTATTCTATGACTGACATCGATATTAAAACAGTATATGTAGTATTATTTGAAAAATATGAATATTAATTAATTGTTTTATTTAATTATGATGACTTCATTGTTCTTGTCAATTCTTGCCAGGATTATTCATCCTTAAATTTTAGCCACTGTTTTCCGGTCCCCATACAGTAAATATCGCATTTATTTTATTAGCACTTATTATCGCTAACTGCTTGTACCTATCCGTCAATTTGTTATTAAACTTACATTCTCGATGGACAAAGTGGTAATAATTTATGGTGTTTATTTCCTGTCTGCTCATTTGTATTTTAAAATCGCCAATATTTATATATAACTTCCAGTAAATAAACAAAATGCCTGGGATCCCCTGAACCATCGGGCACAGAACTCGGAATGAATTCTTTA